TATTTGAGTATTCGAGTATTCATCAAAAAAAAATTTTTTTTGTAGATCCTGCTATTCTCAACCATTTCGAAAACAGCAGTAAATACTTTTTTAAATAAATTTGCTATAAATACATAAAATAAATTAAGAGTATACTGTAAATTTGTTCACTGATTAGAATTCAAACTAAGTTAGAGATATACTTTAGATTTCACTTGCTAAAGACCATTGATCAAAATTAATTTTCCTATTAATATAAATAACATGTAAATAATACATTGTCTGTTTTTCTTTCTAGAATGTATTAATTTTTTTAAATGAAAGTACAAAATATAAATATACACAAATATTACAAAAATATTATACTAAATATAGTAATATTATGAGTACAAAAAGACTATCGAAGATATATACCAAATTCTAAAAAAATTCATAATTTTGCTATTTGTCAAAATAAAGTCTCAACCAAAAAACTTTTAAGAAAAGTTAAAGATAACATGAAAAATTCAACAAAGTAATTTGTTTGCATATAAATTAAAGAAGTAATATTGTAACTTATATCATATAAATATCTCAAACAAAGCAAAACTCTTTGGAAGTTAAAGAAAAATGTGTTAAAGTCATACTAAAAAATTATTCTTAACTATGAGTGCCAATATTCAACAAAATATACATATTTATTTATATATATTTTTTAATTAACTTATATACAAAGCACAATCTTTAGTCACCTTCAACACTGGATCCTGCTTATATTCAAGTATGGCTTGAAGAAGTTTATACTGTTTGAAAACAGGTATACCATACTTACCACTTAGAATATTCGCTTTACCTCAGACAACAAATTAACCAAGCTTCGGAAAAGAAATACAAAACTCTTGTTTCTAAGCCTATCTATGTAATCAACAGTATACCAGGCTCCTATTTATTTCTTTAAAATCAAACTCTCAAACCAACTAGTTACAAACTCTACAGAAATCAAACAACACATACAACAACATTTTAATAATTAGACTATATACAAACCTATTAACCTTTTACTCTTTAATAACACTTGGCAACAACATTATTCTCTTTTGTCTTATATTAACCCAGTATGGTACAACTCTCTTATTATACTCATTACAATTGAAGAGGTCCTCCAACTATCACCAAACTCTTTAATAACAAAGCCTGTAGTTTTATAGACATAAGTTATAAAATGTTCAAATACCTTAGCCACTATTGTATAACTGCATTTGTTGCTTTTTTAAATTGATGTCTTTCTGAAAACTATATCCCTAAATAATAGAAACATAGTTGAATCTATTCTATTCCAAAGAGAAACATATTTGCCTTATTAGCCTCATTGAGCATACTAGAAAAATCTATACTAAAATTCTTACAAACAGATTAAACTGTATTTTCTCTCAATATCTCATCTTTTCATCATACAATTATGTTGCTCTTCTGGGCTATAGTACTTCTATGCCTATACATATCCTCAACAACCTCATTGAAGATACAAGCTATAACTACAAAGAAATCTGGCTCTTGTTACAGGATATAAGCAAGGCTTATGACTCTGTCAACTCTATCCTTTTATATTATACTCTTTTATGCCTTGTATTTCCTACTTTAATCATTAATACAATCTCCAATCTGTTTATCACTAACCTTGGCCTTACACTCTCTTATCTTGTACAAGATGAAATTGATCAAGAAGAAACAATCATATCATTACTTTGGTGTATCTACTATAACTCTCTCATTTCCTATATACACTCTACTATACTTGGGTACCAAATGCAAAGCTTATGGTTTACCAATTTAAAAAACTTTTTAATCAACCAACTTAAAACCAAATGCTTAGTTCTTGCCTACATGAATGACACTCTATAGGTTGCATCCTCATATACAGAACTAGCTAATATAATTTCAATTGCAAAATTCTTTTACTCTATAGCTAACATCCAAGTAACCCTAAACAAATCAGTCCTTACTACTAACTTAACTTCTAATTCCTACTATTTAATTACTTTCAATAACTAAACACTTTCACTACAATTACTGTCACAGATTAAAATAAAATCAGATTAAAATGAAATGGGAACCTCTCTCGCTTTCCTTTAAAGCTTATAAAACCCACTTATACTCTTTTTTTAATAAATCTAACACTAAACCCTAACCCTAAAAAATGTCTCCAAAAATTTTTTAAATTGTCCCTAAAAAATATTAAAATTTTATTTTAATCTGATTTTATTTTAATCTGTCACAATTACTATACCAACCACTTAAATTTCTTGAGTGTTGGTTTACACTTGACAACAAATAATCAAAACAAATACAACAAATTACAACTGAATTTTCTTAGCTTATTCAAACAATTAGTTCCACAAAAATTACAGACACACAAGCTTGCTATATCATTAATACAGTTATTATATTTACTATTGAATGCTGCTTACAGAATATTGTTTTCAGTTAAATAGCTTGTAATAAAATCTTTACATATTATATTAGCCTCCAGGCCAAAGAGGTTACCTTAATACAAAAAAAAAAACTAAGTATAAGTTGTTCAAGATTGTCTTTTAATAAGTGTCAAAAAATTTTTAAAAAAATAAATAGATTTTACTATATTTGCCTATTATCTATAGTAATATTAAAAATTTTTGTTAGTAAGATTTTACTACTAAATAACATAACAAAGCTTTTTACAAATAGTTTACCAATATAAAAATGATCTAAAATATTACAAGTAAATAAAACTTTATAAAAACAAAAGAACTCTTTTCAATAATTACTTAAACCAAAATTTTTTGCTAAAGAAAAAAATAATTTTGTTAAAAAGTTGTGGTCTAACATAGTAGTTTGTTCAAAGGTTATTTACAGGACTTCTCTAAAATAATATTTGGTATACAAGTCAAAAGCATTATTATAAAAAATAACTAGCAGGAGGTGGTACTCTTGTATAAAAAATTTTGATAGAGAGATGAATGCCAAAAAGCCTTTAGTCTTTTTGTTAATAAAGCTCTTAGGTTGTTATTTCAAATAGAGATAACAATAAATATTGTTTTTTTAAGCTACACACTTTTGCTTAATTAAGTAGTTCCTTTTTTACTTACTCTCATCTTCCTGTTGGTCTTTCAAAATTTTTGAACAAAAGTGAAAATTTGACTTTCCAAATTTAGATAGTTTAGTGAAATGCAACCATGTGTTTTAGGAATATGAAGCTACTATACAGAACTGGGCTCCTAGCACAAAACTCCTAATAATGGCAGTAGGTGCTTGAAATATAGGTCTACAAAGGTGACAGCACCAACTTGAGATACAGGTTAGAACAAGCTCAAACAGAGTTAATTAAAAGGTCAAAAGGAAAAATTCAATATTAAGACAAAGATTTACAATAAAAATGGTGTATTTATTATATAATTTTTATTTTTGCTTAGTACAAGCTATAATAGTACACTTATTATAGATTGTTTTTTTCTTTTTTTCTTCTATCATTTTTTTTCCTTTTATTTATTTTTTTTTTGCTGTCTTATTGCAGTCTTTATATAAGGTTTTTTTTTTAAGCTTCTTTTTTTTCTTCTTTGATTTTAAAGTTTTTTTATATAGTAGTTAGAAGTTTTTTTTTCTACTCAGAAAGTTAGAAAAAGAAGGTTTAGGATTAAAAAAAAAGATAATTATAATGAGCTAATAGATATAAATGCTATCTGGTGAAATATTAGTTTTTTTGATTGCAAGAAAAAAATATAGAGAAAAAATTTACTATAGTAGATTGAATATGAGTAAATTGGACTTTGGTTACAAGAAGCCAGGTTAGTTAATACTTGTTAAGTGATTTGAGCTTAATAAAGTATTGGCATAATTGCTAAATTGATTCAAAAAAAAAAAAAATTTTATAAAACTTAAAATCTAAACTAAGCTAAGTGGCTATTACTCCAATATATTTATAGTTGCTCTTAACTTTTTAAAGATTAGTTATTAAATAGATTGAAGAAGCAATTTTAAAAAGTAAATCATATAATTTGTTTGTACTCTATAAATATACTTTATAAATTAATTTTTTGTTGTTTTATTATATGAAATACAAAGACCAGGCTTACAACTATGAATAAATCTTTATTTTAATTGATAATCTATTTGTTACCTGGAGGGGATTTGCAAAATTTTATAAATAAAGTTTATTATGTATTGACAAAAATGTGGCAAGCCTACATCTAAAACTTTTTTTTTACTAAGACAATCAATCTTGTCAATTAATTAAAAGTTGTAGAGCTCATCAATGGTGGTAAGAGCATCAAAATCAGCCTGGTAGTTCTTGAAATATCTTTAAAAAACATTTCACACATATATAAATTTTTTTTAAAAAAAGTCTTCTTTTTTTAAAGAAATTTTATATGTGTGCAAGATGTTTTTTGACACTCTTACCACCATTAGATACGTCTTGATGAGCTCTACAACTATCAATTAATTGACAAGATTAAAAAAAAAATTTTAGATATAGGCTCGCCACATTTTTATCAATAATAAACTTTACTTATAAAATTAAAGAATATACAAAAGCTGTACAAATTTTATTATAAATTTAATTAAAAAACAAAATATTCTTGTTAATTTTTTTTTTGGCTAATTTAAATTATAAATAATAATAGCAATAACAATAACTTATCAATTGATTTTACTTTGTTATTTGGGGACTTAAAGAATAATGAATCCAGTAATCATCACATCATGGAATGATGTCATTTGTTTACTAGCACTAACAGATTTGACCTAAACTATACTATCACCTAACCCTAACACTAACCCTAACTTAGGCCGGAGTGTTTAATCATGTGATGTGATGATCACGAAGATATCACTAGGTTTACTCTTCTTGAAACTACCTGTTATTTGAATCTAAATACATTCGGCCATGTTTGTAGTTGTACCTTCTTTATGACTATAAGGATAGGGTATTACCAGCAAGGTCTTTACAAATCATGCAATAAGCAATATCATTATTGTCAGGGTTTCTAAAGTTGCATGACATGTATTAACTCAGTTGCTTTTGCTACCATTATTTTTTGAATTTTTTACAATTGTTTATAGGATTTGGATGTGCTGAACAGGAGAAACCGTCTAAATATAGATATGATTTTCTTTCTCTGTTACACAGATCACTCATTGTATCGACCAGTCATAAATATCACTACAGGATTAGTCAACCAAACAAATTGCGAAATTTACAAAAAGACGAAACCATGGGATTCAAAGGGATTCAAAAAATATGTTGTAAAGCAAAGTGAGAGCTTCATGTTTGTTTAACCATTTTCAATATTCATAGAAAAGATAAGTCAAGCGAGCCTTCCAAAAAAGTATTGTAAAATAATATAAAAAAAATTTTCATCAATTGTGTAACGATTTTGTGACGTATCAACGGTTGATGTGCTGAAGCTGATACTTCAGCTTCAGAGATGGAAGAATTTGGCTCATTCATTTCAAGGTCTGAAAATGGAGCAGAGAAAGATGCCATTTTGCATACTACTGTACAATGTTTGCTTGTTTGCTACATTATTTATATAATTAAAGCTACTAAATCTTACTTTATTGGTTATTATTTAATGAACTTGCCGTATGAACTTTAGTTCATGAAAAATAATAACATGTTACAAATCATCATAATGGCGTAAAGCTCAAAGTAAGCTAAATTTATTGTTTTCTATATGAACTTAGTTCTCGCTAAGAACCAATAAATAACATATGGGTTATCGCGAAACAAAATGCCTAAAAATCAGTTAAATTGACTGTTTCCATATGAACTTTAGTTCTCGCAGAGAACCAATAATTGATTAGTTATTGTGAGAACACAAAGCCAAAAATAAGTTAAATTTGATTGCTTTTCATATGAACTTGAGTTACCACAAGAGCTAAAGCGCAAAAGTTAATTTATTGCCTTTTATATAAATTAAGTTCTCACAGAAACAACGCCTGAAAATAAAACTGATTGCTCTCTTGGTAATCTAATCATGATGTCATTTATTTCCGAATATCAAATCCGGTTCCAAACTCTACATTCGCACCTCATACTATACTATATACGTACTTTAGGTATAAATTTTGCCAAGAAATTGTCACTTGGCGTGAAGTCGGCTAAATGAGCTGTCAGTGATAGGCTGTCCAGAATTCTGCAATGCATAAATCTAAAAATGCCTTTTTACTTGTGATTGATTTTTAAAAAAATGATTTGTGAGACAAATTGTGTGTCTTCGCTAAATTAAGGTATCTATCGCTTGCTAAAATAGGACGATACAATAACAATAAAATAGATCAGTTACATATTTTCGCGAGTAATGGTAATACAACCTCTTGAAAAAAGGAAATGCAAATCTGCAAATCAGCTAATCAGAAATGTTTCACGAAAGAAAAAAAAGAAAGCGAAAGCACTCGAAAACTAGTATTTAAATTTACTTTGGTGTACTATTTAAGTATGTAATACGTAGTACGTACGGGTTGATTTAATAATTTAAAGCGTTTGATGCCATAAACATTCGCACCTTTTTTTAATAATATCATGAAAACATTGATTGAAAAGAAGATTGAAGAAAAAATTTCCACCCTAGAAATTAATCTACTTAATTATGATAGGTTTTATGACTTTAAGGAAATTGGAAAAAATAGAAATGGGATTCCAGTATTAAAATCAAAATGGAAAAAAAGAAATTTTTCAGTTGTTCATAAAAGCGTAAAAGTTGATTCTAATATGGATAATAATTTTCAAAGATTGATTACTGAAGTATTATCATTTTAAGTCTATAATGCCAAATTTTAAATGTTAAATATAAGTTATCATTTATTTAACTCCTATTGTACCGATTAATATACAGATTGAAAATTTACATAAAGTTGGCTTTCATGAGAATATTATTAATTTTTATGGGATTACTAAAGGAATGTATTTTAAATTTATTCTTGTTGAATAGCTCATATTATAAAAGCATATTTGTATTATTTAAAACTAATAATATTTGCAAACAACCAATAGATCCCCACAAAGGAGGGTTTTATAATATAGTTCAACTGTTTCCTAGTGATGGAAATTTACGTAAATATTTGAGCGAAAATTTTAAAGTGTTAAAATGGATAGATAAATCACGTATTGCAATGGAATTATCTAATGGACTAATGTTTTTACACCAAAAGGGGATCGTCCACCAAGACATTGTAAGTATGCTTATGCTTATTTATATTTATATAAATGATTTAATGGTTTAGTAATTCTAATTTATTTTAGAATTCCAATTATATATTAGTTCATGAAGGAAAAGTCAAAATCGCAAGCTTTGGCTCATCCAAAGTTACGAATGTTGAATCTTCATTTGATGAGAGTTTATTAGATTTAGATTCAATAGCATACACTGAGCCTCAATGCTTAAAAACGAAATCTGGAAATCGTGATTTTAAATCTGACGTTTATAGTTTGGGAGTTATTCTCTGGGAGATCTCAAGCGGTCGATCACCATTTGAATCCTTTTTAACAGAATTGAAAAAATCAAAAGAACCAAAAGAACTAAAAGAAAATGAATTAAAAGAATCACTTATTAATCATATCGTCGAAGGAGAAAGAGAGAAGCCAATAGAAGACAACAACAACACACCGACTGAATATATTAATCTTTACATGGAGTGTTGGAATGAAAATCCTGCTAAACGTCCGGAAACGAAAGAAGTTCTTAAAATTTTAACTAAGAATTATTACAGATCTATAGACGAAGTTGAACTTCCAATGCATGACAAATGGAAAGATAAAAAATGGACAAGTGGAAATGAAGAACTCGATTACTTTATCAAAGAATCGCAACTGAAGGCAAAATTTTATGATAATATGATCGAATGGATTCCTTATGATAGATTAAAAGTAAATAAAGTAATTGGCGAAGGTAGTTTTGGCACTGTTTATTCTGCAGAATGGTTAGATGGAAAGCGAATACGTTCGAAATTCTTACGTGAATGTTGCACTGTTGCGCTCAAAAAGTTTAAGAAAGATACTTTCAAAGAGGTTAAGGAAGAGAAGGATATCTTTAAAGAGGTAATGTTGAAATATATTATTTGTTCATTATTCATATATTTATTGTATCTTATTATTATTATTATTATTATTTAGTTTAAAACTCTCGTAGAATTTAGAAATCAAAAAAACTTTCTTGAAACATACGGGATAACCCGTGATCCAGATAAAAAAGAATATGCGATTGTATGTCAATATGCAAATGAAGGAAATCTTGGGAACTATTTATATACAAATAATAAGCAACTTACTTGGGCGCACAAGTTAAAACTTCTTTTTTCAGTTGCGTTCAATCTAAGTCAAATTCATAATACGGGATATGTGCATAAAGATTTACACTGCGGCAATATACTTGTAAATACTATTGGAAACGATACGACTGCGTATATCTCTGATCTCGGGTTGTCTAGTAAAATTGAAGATAATAGAGCTAAATGGAAAATTTTCGGAGTTCTTCCCTATGTTGCTCCTGAGGTTTTATTAGGCGATCAATATACAACAGCAGCAGATATTTATAGTCTTGGTATTATATTAACTGAAATCTCTGCAAGAAAACCACCTTATTGGGACGAAAACGGGAAAACCAAGTATGATAATGATTTGGCAGTACTGATATGTAAAGGCTTACGCCCAGATTTTGGTGAAGAAACACCTGATCCATATATTAAATTGGCAAAACGATGTATGGATGAAGAATTAGCAAAACGACCAAGTGCTGAGGAGATTTGCCAAAATTTATTTCATTGGTATAATAATTGCGGTTTAAAAGATAAATTTTTAAACGAAGAGGACCTTAAAATTAAGAATGCATTCTTGAACGCGCATGATAGAACACGCTCAAAAAAAACACCCTTTTACAGATCTCGAATGATAAATACTGTGGAAATTGCAGAAGCTTATAAAAAGCAACCAGATGGAATATATGTTCCAGGATTAATGGGTACAGTTCAAATCAGCCAAGTGCGACTCAATTAGTGTAGGTTTGAATCGATGAATTACCTACTAAACATCGAGAGACAACGTTAATTGAACATCAATTATATACAGTACAACATTTAGAATGTACACGATATTCTGGTTTTATATGCTGGAGGTATTCAGAGTGTTTTAAAACAGATAAACTATTTAACGATCTAATTTATTTTATTCTATTTATTTATTTATCTTTGATAATTTTAATATTTAATAAAAGACGTCCAAAATTCATCTATTCCAATCTCTATCATACCAGTTTATCATTTATGTGTGTCAGGTTAAAAATTTTATAATGAATATAATAATAAAATTAGTTTTGCTTGAATTATTTTACTATTGAAAGCTATACTGCATTGTTGATGGTTGAATATTTGTATGAAACGGAAAGTAGGATAGAGGGCACAAGATTCTTGAATACCCTTTTTTGTACGATGTTGTACATTTTGATTGAGTGTTCCATTAATTCAATTTTAGCTTGAAAGGCTATATCAAAGTATTAATAATAATAAAATGCAGATATGTAAAAATTAAAATTTAAACTTTTATTTACCGTTTTACTAATTGTTGATTACTGAGTCTTCATCATGAGACTAGTAATGCCGCAAAACTTACGTTTTTGATACTCCTACACTTACTTTTGATACTGATCGACATGCAGATCCCGGTAAAAATAGAAAATTTAAAAACTTTGAGCGAAGTTATCTCGACAACTACCTGCTTGAATCTGATAAAACCTTTTCGATTTGAATTCTATGGACTCATACAATTCAAATAAAAAATTTTTAATCGAATTTAGCCATGTGGTTGTCGAGATATCTTCGCTTAAAATTAGAGAAAGCCAAAACGCCTATCAAAATAGAAGCTGCGTCAAATTTCTCTCTAACTTTGAGCGAAGGTATCTCGATAACCATCTGACCAAATTCGGTAAAATTTTTTTTGTTTGAATCCTATGGATTCATGGAGTTCGAATAAAAAATTTTCATCGAATTTAATCAAGTGGTTATCGAGATATCTTTAGAGAAAAATCAAAACGTCTATCGAAATAGAAGCTACGCCAAATTTTCTTTCTAACTTTGAGCAAAGATATCTCGATAACTACCTAACCGAATTCGATAAAACTTTTTTATTTGAATTCTATGAATACATAGAATTCAAATAAAAAAATTTCATCGTATTTAATCAAACGGTTGTTGAGATATCTTCGCTCAAAGAAAAAATCAAAATGCATATCAAAATAGAATCTACGCCAAAATTTCTTTCTAGCTTTGAACGAAGATATCTCAACACCCACTTAACTAAATGCAATGAAATATTTTTTATTTAAATTTATGAATGCACAGAATTGAAAGATAAAAGGTTTTATCGAATCTGGACAGACCGTTATCGAGATATCTTCGCTCAACGTTAGAGAGAAAATTTCTATTTTGATAGGCGTTTTATTTTTCTCTAACTTTGAGCGAAGATACCTCGATAGCCACTTGACTAAATTCGATGAAAATTTTTTATTCGAATTCTATGAATCCATAGAATTCAAACAAAAAAGTTTTATCGAATTTGGTCAGATGGTTATCGAGATATCTTCGCTCAAAGTTAGAGAGAAATTTGACGCAACTTCTATTTAGATCAGTGTTGGATGTTATCATTATGTCATGTGATATTTTCATATGATATAGAATCATATGAATCATATGCCATATGATATAGATCATGTCATATTATTAATTTATGACACTTCATATCGATATTTTATTGTAACAAGGTTCGCGTTTAAGATGTTGCAGTTGCCGGGAGGATCGAATAGTAAGTTATATAGTAAGCTTTATATAATGGTATACATAGTAAATATGAGATATAGGTGTAGTTTATTTTATAGTAGTTGTATAGTAGATTTTTTTACGTATAGTTAATGATGGTAATATTTGGTATATATTTAGTATTACAAGTATACCAGGAACGAATGCAATGAGAGTATACCAGGAGCGGAGTGATGCAATCACGTAGTGTATGGTTTATATGGTGTTTGAAACGATATCCGTCCGCAAAATCTTAAGTTTGATTGGTCCGCATGACTTATTCGTCAAATTTTGTTTATTTATCACACATGCGTTCGTCACACTATTATTTTTCACATGCATATTCATCACTCGTTCTATCTATGTTAATATGGTATAGATCAACAAATATAAGCGCAGTTACATAATTCTATTTTCAAATGCGGAGGATTGCAAACATGTGCATTATCAAAGTTACGATAGCTAATGATATTAAACTTAATAATTTTAGACACGAAAATTGGTAACCCGATGCAAATTAATTTGTGTATTTACCTGATATTTAGCATTTTTCATTTTTTTTCGTAGGATTTTTTATTGGGTTGATTAAATGATAATCGCTGATCGTCAAATATGATAGCGAACTAATTTTTCAGCTAACCGTATATCCAGATAACTGTGCAGCCTGCTAATTCGTTATATGATGCTCTTAAACTTTTGTTGGCTTGACTAATATGATTCAACTGCCTGTTAATGTATATCTAATGCTTCGATAGATGTTATTTAATATGCTGACTGACGATATTAAGCTATTTATTAATTGATTTAACTGAATATATTCTGTTGATAAGTAAATTTCGATAAAAAACCTTTTACTTAACTATTTTTTTTTTTTTGCTCTAAATTTAAATTAGAACAATCTTAGAATGAATTTGCCAAGCTTTCCAGAAGTTTTGACAAATTAAAATTTGTCATTGACGAAGTTACTAACCATATATATGAAAATAACCAATTAGCTCTAATAAGGTCACCAAGTAAGCATATACTATTAATTATCATAAATAATAACAAGTATATATTATACACCAATGCCGAAATATACTAATAAATCCTATATCAATATTAAATCAATTATTAGCTAGACGTTCAAATTATACTATATGCTTCTATTTTGATTTACTACTTATCTTTACTTAAACCATTTGTTATCTACTGTACGTGCCTTCGCTCCTGGTTACTAGCGCGACTGCGTTGCGCAGCTACCTTATGGTTTATATGCTGTTTGAAGTGGTATTTGTCTGCAAAATCTTAAGTTTGATTGGTCCGCATGACTTATTCATCAAATTTTGTTTATTTTTCACATATTATCCATCATGCTATTATTTTTCACATATGAATCCATCACACCTTATATTTGTGAATCCTCGTAATACATTGTATGACATATATTGACAAAGGTATCTATATGCGCAAATCAATGAAATGCTGATACGTAATTGCAAACATGAGCGATATCAGAGTCACAATAGCTAACAATATTAAAAGCAACAATTTTATACACAAAAATTGTTGACCTGATGCAATTTTATTTGTCTGTTCACTTGATATTTGGTATTTTTCGTTTTTTTTGTAGAATCTTTTATCAGGTTGATTAAATGATAATTACTGATCATCAAAGAAATTACGAAATGTTTTTCGATGATCGGATAACCTGCTAATTTATTGTCATAGACAGAAAGATCGATTTGCAAATCTACACGTGACGATTAACCAATCAAATTACACAAATTTTATTCGTTATTTTACAATATTACAGACTAAAAACGAAAACTTCAAGAAAAAAGTTTATAAGAATCAGTAAAAATACTGATTATATACATGTAAAAGATAGGCGAATATATGTAAAGAGGAGTAAAAGCGGTGTTCAACTACTAAAACAACCAGAACTTACTAAATCTAACTACAGAACTATCTAAGAACCCAAGCTCATATCTACGATCTATAAACCCAAACTTAAAAACCAACCCAACTTAAGAGTGCTTTAACCCTAAATTTCTTATTGCTAACACCACTAACAAGCTTATTCCGCTTCAAAAACCAAATCTGAAATTCCGATCTCTAAAAAAAACCTACTATTTGTTAGTAACTATTTTTTTTAGTGCGTGTTAAAATTCAAACAAAACCTTTTTTTTCTTTACCTAGTTCAGAAAGTCGCATCTAAGCTAACACCACTTAAATTTAAGATTATTTAAGATTATTTTTAAAGGTGGTCTTCTAGCACTAAAACGAAGCGAATTGTGTAAAAAAATTTCGGATAATATAAAATGCATCTATGGTGATCATCACCATATTACCACGTGATATAGTATTACGCGCTTGTTATATTTTAGATATTGATTTAATAACTAATAATTATTACGCGATATTACAAAATTTTTTATTTCAGTCGTTTTACTAATTTACTGATCATGGGCAACTTACCTTTTTCTAGCGTTAGCACTACTACACACAGTAGCCGTATTACTAGCAGTAGCACTACACACAGTAGTCATATAAGTGTTTGCACAGACGAAATTGAAGTACCTGAGGACAGTTTTAGCGATTTCAACGTGCATTGCGATGACGAAGAGGCAGTAGCTGAAGAAATTGAGGCGAATTTAGAAGAAGAAACTAATTCGGATTTAGAAAGTGAAAGTGGCGAAGAAATTTCTGAGGATACTTATTCATTGGCTGTGAATCAAGAATTTGGCTCATGGAAAGAAGTTGATGAGTAAGCGCATATTCAACAATCTTGAAAATTAAATGTTTCGTTTTGAATGTTTTGAATTTTAATTTTATAGCGAAGGTCTTTTATGTTTATGTTACTTTATAGCAAAAGTTTCTTATATTTATTTATTTATTTATTTATTTTTTAGCCAGTTCGAACGTTATAGTAAAGGGAAAGGCTTTGCATTTTGTATAACCCATAGCGAAAATGATAAAGATGATAAGCAGCCTCGACGTCGGGTATACACATGCACAAAAGGACAAAAATATGTGCAACATAAGGAGGCACATGTTCTTATGAAAAAAATCGAGGCCACAAAACAGGAGGTTGCCCTTATCATGTAAATACATATCGGTGGAAAAACGATAACAAAATTCGTATTTCAAGTATAAAAGGCACACATAATCATGAAATGATTGAAAATATCCATATGGTTGAGCCAAGGTATCGGCGACTAACAAAAGAAATGCAAGATGATGTTCGTTTACTTGCATCATCTGGTGTACGGGCTGGTGCGGTTATAGAGGTTTTGCAGCAAAAGTATCCTGAGAAATATATACATCCCCGTAATGTGTATAATATGATACAAAAAATTCGTTACGAAAAATGTATAACAGGTGATGCAAGTAGTACTTATATGGAGTTGATCAAAAAACAGCAAGATGAACCCGGTTATTATGTTGATGTATAATTTGAAGGAACAGATAATCACTTGGTTGGTCTTTTTTGGATGCAGCCAAACCAAATACAACTGTGGGGCAAATTTCACGATGTTGTACTTATGGACACCACACTTAAAACCAACCGTTATTTGATGAAGCTTTGTATTGTTATAATTCTAGATAATCATAACTGTTCACGCTTGGTAGCAACCGCGGTTATTTCAGATGAGAAAAAAGAGACTTTCTCATGGGTTCTACAAAATTTACTCAAAGCATCGAATGGTTTAGAACCAAAGCTATTATTTACAGATGCTGATTGTTCCATGGTTGCTGCCATAAGTGAAACATTGCCAAACACGAAGCATCATTTCTGCCTTTTTCACATTAGAAAAAAACTTGAAAAACGTTTTCTAAGTAAGTATAAGGGAGAGAAATGGAAAGAATTTTTTAATATGTTTTGTTATGTACGAAATAGCCGCATTGAAGCAAAATTTGAAGAACGTTGGGCAAGCATACTACAAAAGTACCCTGATTCTGTATCTTATTTAGAAAAGCAGCTTTATCCTTGCCGTAGTGCATGGGCACTTTGTTTTACACATAGGTCATTTAATGCAGGTGTTCAAACAACTCAGAGAGTTGAATCATATAACAGCATTATCAAAAGGCATGTTAATGGTGCTTCATCTTTGTTTGAATTAAGCAAGACAATTGAGAAATTGCTCATTAAAGAGAGCCGATACCAACGTTTAAATGAAGTTATAGGTATACTGCCAGACATTCATAATGATGAATACTATGATAGATATTTTAAGCTAGTTGACGAATCATGTCAGAAGTTCTTAACTGCAGCAGTTCTCAAAATTCAGCGTCGCGAGATAAATTATAGCATTCATTATCGAGTGCAATTAGCAAATTTAAGTAGTGAACTTGAAAATCAGGCAAGTTTTATATTATTAAATAAAGTAACAAACCTGTCATAATTAGAATTTACTTTTTTTTTTTAATAGTTATCTAACACTGACGATTTATCAACTGGAATGTTTACCGATGATATGTTTGATGCATTTGTAATCGAACTTGAGCAACTAATAATTAATATAGATCGCACACGTATTCGTGAAATTTGGAAAGTTTCATCAATTGACATGAAGATTCATCATTTTGTAATACTATATGATGAGACAATGCATCTTTGTACGTGTTTAACATTAATTAACTGTGGTGTTGTTTGCCGACATTTTTTTTCAGTAATGTTATTATCAAAGATTGCTATATTTCATATTGGGCTCATATCATGCCGATGGTATTTGGACAAAATAGCTTATGAAACAGAAGTTGATATTGCAAGTGTACCAGCAATTTCAAATTTAGATCAATCAAAGGAAAAAGCGCAAGACGGATTTGACTTCAGATCTGTTGATTTAATTACTGAACTTGATGCATTACTTAAAAAAAATTATACTACGGATTTTAAATTTTTGGTATGTATTATATAAAATTTTTATAATTATTTATTTCGTATATCTAATATATCTAATATATCTAATATACAACTTAATATTTCCTAAATCTATTCTAATATGCTTTTATAACAGTCCAACATCACTCAAATTATTATTGATCTTAAATATGCTCATACCAATTTATACCTGCTTGCTATAATGCATTTTATTTTAAACAAAGTATCCTACTTTATTCATCAGTGGATCCTGAAGGAATTCAGGTAAATATACTGTATATATATTGTGGTTTAAATAAAATATAATTAATTTTTTAAATTATTAATTTGTAATATATATTATTAATAGACTATTAAAGTATTTCGCGATGATCTAAATTCTTCAAATGTTGGATGTGAAGTTACGCATATTGACGGCTCTCCTGCTTTAGATGTAATTACAGATTTTGCAAAAAATAATATTAAAAACTCTCGTGATCTTGGTGTAAGATTTAACTTGGCACTAGTTTCACTTCAATTAAGTAATCAAAATTACAGTATAATTGATGGTAATTTTGCTTTACGCTCAACTTTACCTAAAAATGAAAATGTTACTTACGATATTAAATGTTCTAACACTAATGATACAAAAAAACTTATAAGACCTTGGAAGATATCTGCTAATAATGATAATTATACAAATTTTTATAATTTTACTGATTTCAAAAGTTATTACGAATCAACCTGCCTTATAGAAAGTTCTATTCAATCTACTCCTTTTAGAAAAGCAAAAAACTTAAACCTACAAACTGAACAATTAGCTGATAATAAAATATCAATTACTGGTGAGAATATTACATATATTGGTGATTTTACAATGGTTTTGAAGATCAGTGATATTGGTGTCATAGTGATACCTACCTTCGGACCGGATATTAAAAAATATAGCTATAGCCAAATAATAATGGAACTTGTTGATAAGTTTGATACACTTGCCAAATCTGGAGTAAAGAAGGCATGTATTTTATTTTATTATTTAACTAGCTAGAGCTAGATGTTCATATACCGATTTATTTATCTAATAATATTTTTTTATAAATTAAATAATAATTACAGATTGTCTTAGATTTCACTAATAAGATGGTGGATACATAGAACTTTCACAATACTTAAATAATCTCTTCTTCTCACAAAAGAAAGCTTCATTTCCACGTGATATTAAGATTAATAACATTACGACATTCCTTATTAAACAAGTTTATGAATTAAACTTTCAACTAGCTGATTTTGCTCCTAAATCAACATTATCGTATACTACTTATGAACCATTTAATAATTCTGATGAATATATTGGTAACAATCAATATACAAGAGGTGGTATAACTACCAGATATATTCTTGTTATCTGGCATGATGTGACAGATACATGGGTATTCGGCAGGATGATAGCAAAAGCACGTGGCCGAAGGCCACGTGCGTTGCTATCATCCTGTCGAATACCCATGTATCTATCACATCATGCCAGATAACTAGTTTATCCGT